AGAGCGCGTCATGTTCCGGGAGACAGGAACACAGGGGCGGACATAATGTCACGGGGAGGCCCTCTCGAAGACGAGTGGGGCCTCGACCCGCAGATGGCAGCGGAGGTCTGGCAGAGGTTTGGTCGGCCTGTGGTCGACCTGTTCGCCAGTGCAGACAACGCGCAATGCCCGCTCTGGTTCGCACTGAGACCCACGGACAATCCGCCTCTAGGGGTGGATGCCTTGGCTCATTATCCGTGGCCAGGGGGCCTGTTGTACGCCTTCCCCCCCCCTCGTCTCCTACCGATCCTACTGAGGAGGATCGAGCAGGAAGAGCGGGAGGTAATCCTGGTCGCCCCAGACCGACCACAGGCCCGTTGGTTCCCGTTCCTGACCAACATGTCTGTGATGGACCCGTGGCCTCTCCCGGACGTGCCAGGGGGCCTGGTCCAGGGAGGGGGGACGCTTCGCTCCCGCCCAGTCCTGGGCCACAGGCTCTGGGTTTGGAAGCTGAGAGGCAGAACCTAGTCCGACTAGGCTTCCCCCGGGCGGTGATGGATACCATCCAAGGGGCGAGGGCACCTTCCACCGTGAGGGCTTACGGGTGCCGGTGGAAGCTTTTCAAAGACTGGTGCGCGGCCCACTCGTGGGACCCCAGGTCTTGCCCTCTAGAGGGCGTCCTGGGATTCCTGCAGGACCTTTTGGATAAGGGCAGGGCCGCTAGTACCTTGGCTGTGTCCGCTTCGGCCATTGCCTCTGGTCACGAAGGGTTCGGGGGGTTTTCAGCCCGCTCCCACCCGTTAATCAAACGCTTCCTTCGGGGGGCCTACAGGAAGAGGCCGGTCCTTAGACGAACACCTCCGATCTGGGACCTCAAGGTGGTTTTGAAAGGGCTGTCAGGGCCTCCTTTCGAACCCCTGACCCGTGCCAGCCCAGAATGCGTGGCCTTCAAGACCGCACTCTTATTGGCTCTGGTATCAACCAAGAGGGCGGGAGAACTGTGCGCTCTTTCCATCAGCCCGGCCTGCCTGTCCTTTGGTCCGGGGGATGGGTTGGTGGAGTTGTGGCCCAACCCGGCCTTTCTCCCCAAGGTCGTTTCCTCAACCTTCAGGTCCAGGGTCATACGGATCAGACCTTTTCACCCTCCGCCTCACGCCTCGCAGGAGGATGAGCAAAGACACCTGTTGTGCCCTATCAGGATGCTGAGGCATTACCTGGAGGTCACGTCCTCTTTCAGGCGCACGGATCAGCTGTTCGTGTGCTTGGGGCCTAAAAACAGAGGCGCCCCGTTATCCTCCCAGCGGCTGGCCCACTGGGTGTCCCGGGCGATTCGCTCGGCGTATCAGGCCCAGGGGATGGTGCCCCCGGTGGGGTTCCGAGCGCACTCCACTCGGGGCGTGGCGGCCTCCACAGCTCTGCTACGAGGGGCCTCGGTGGAGGAGGTATGCCAGGCTGCGTCCTGGGCTTCGTCTTCCACCTTTGCTCTGTCTTACCTGGTGGATGTTTCAGAGCGGTCTGTTGCTCACTCCATCCTGAGCTCTGGGACTGATGCGACCGTGTCTGGCTCTCTCTGAGGCTTCTGCGGTCTATGTTGTCTGGAGCGGCCGGCCCCTCCTGGAGCTCTTGATAGAGGCGTCCTGGGCTCAGCCTTCTCCTTCTTCCTTCGCGGCTTTGTGCAGTCCTCAGGTGCTCTTGGTAGAGGCGGCCTGGGACTGTTCCTTGTTCCCCTACGGGGGCGCGCGCGGTGTTCCTCAGGAGCTCTTGATAGAGGCGTCCTGGGAAGTGACCTTCGCCCTTGGGGTTTGGTCAGAGACTTGGCTGTTCCTGGAACGGCCTCCCTCTTGGATTCTGTTAGTGCTTCGGGCGTCCTTGATAGGAGCGGCCCTACCACTGCTTCACCTTTGAGCTTATCCTTGGGCGTCCTTGATAGGAGCGGCCCCATCACTGCTCATTCCCTGTCTGTCTTGAGTTCCCACACCTTGGAGGTGTTAGGGCCTACTCGGCAGGGCTCCAATCACTGCTAGCTGGCCTGATGGGAGTACATACTCTTAGGCTACGCTTCGTTACCCAAAGCGAGCCTAAGGGGCGTAGCACTATGAAGTAGAATTGTTAGTTACCTATTGTAACTGTAGTTCTACGAATAGTGCGTAGCCCCTTAGCTACGGGCCCATCAGTCCAACCTGGCTTTGGCGAGTTCAAAGTGAAGAGCATGGACTGCTGTGGGCTATTTATAGGAGGTTCTGCACAGTGATTGGAGCATTGAGTTCTCTCTGGCGGGAAGCTGGTGCTTCTGGAGTCATACCCAAAGCGAGCCTAAGGGGCTACGCACTATTCGTAGAACTACAGTTACAATAGGTAACTAACAAGTATCGGGTATCGTGTCAATACCATAGGCTTGTACTGGTACTGGTACTCATACCATAGGACCTGATGCCGGCAACCCACATTTAATCTACACTTGCGTCACGACAGGTGATCTCCAAAAGTCTGCATAGAGAAGGCAAGCTGCAAGGGGACCGGATGTCTGCCATATGGCAGGTTTTTTTTAAGTAAACAAGAGTGGCTAGAGTAAAGCATACGTTGTGGAGGCAAAACTGTCACAAGGTGGGTCAAAAACAAAAACCAGTTATTTGATCAAACGTCTGAAAAGTCTCTTCCGCGCATAGTATAACATAAGAAATAAGATTTTTTTAGCTTGTTTTGAATTGATTGTGTCTGTGCCATTATTCTACTTTCTATAGTTGCCAATTCTCCAACACAGATCAGAGAAACGGATCAAACAGTTCAAACACAAAAACACAGCTATTGGTCCACAGCGGAGCGGACGACCAATGTACATAAATGTTAATAAATCCTGGATCATCACCACGGTCCAGAGGTTCTGGATCATCACCACTGTCCAGAGGTTCTGGATCATCACCACGGTCCAGAGGTTCTGGATCATCACCACTGTCCAGAGGTTCTGGATCATCACCACGGTCCAGAGGTTCTGGATCATCACCACGGTCCAGAGGTTCTGGATCATCACCACGGTCCTTAAACTTGTTAGGCACAGATTCAGGAAGGGGTCCATTCCCATGGACGAACAGGCTTTGGATCCAGGCCTCAGGCGGTAGAACGAGGACAGAGGCTGCCTGGTGCAGAACTGAGGATGCTCCCAGTCTGGGAGGGGAGTGTAGGATCCAGAAGTCTGGCGTTTTGTAAGCGCAGTGCTTGGTTTGGTTTCCCTTGTACGTAAAAAAAATAAAAAATAAAAAAATAACTATTTGGTTGCCTTTTTTATATTCGTCTTTTTGCACAGATCCGTAAAATCCTTGCTGCTGTGTTTCAGGCGAGCTGTAAGCTTTTTATAGAGGACTGAGGGCCTTGAGATGACAAAAGCGTGGATCAGTTTTTCTGCATCATGAGAAAGGATTTTCCTAATTTATTCTCTGCAGGTGGAAATATTCTGTTTTAGTTGCTGGATTTGTATGTGCCCTGAAGGAATGTTCCTGGTCAATAATGACTCTAAGATTCCTTATAGTTTTGCTGGGGGCCATGCTAACATTAGCGGGTGTGACTATCTGATTGTCACCCAAGGCCTGTCATGTTGAAAAAAAAATTTTTTTTTTATTTATTCAAAGAAATGTTGCGACAAGACATATTATTGAAACACAACATTACAAAACAGCTGGGGAATCCCTGTGAAGCATTTTATACTTTTCCTAACCATTAAAATCCACAGACTGAAACGAAATAAATATAGAATACTTGCCTTTTTTAGTTCATAAATTACACTTTTAGTTTGGCGCGACCATCGACCTATATTAGGAGAGGACTAGCCAAGTGCTGACATCAGGATAGTATTTGCCGAAAGCGCAAGATGCCGATTTGATCCTAAGCTAGCTGGAGCCAATTTCCATTTATTCCGATGTTGTTAGCTTTGTGCTGTGTTTCTAAGATTCCCCACAGAATAAAGGCTTTTGATTTGTCATATCTTGTATTATACAGAAAATATACAAATATTACCACCAACATCACGAGCAGCACTAAACCACAAATCCCTTTTTCCCTTTTCACTCTGAAAAAACTGATCCAAATATGTGATGAAATGCCAAAAATGCATGTGAAAAATAATGATAAAGGACCTTTTGAACTCAAACTATATTTGTATCACAAACAAAATGCCAAAGATATTCTCACGATTTCAAAGACAATTTACAGATGATTAATATTGGCACCCAAAATACATTTTTCCATTTGTTAGTTATTGAATAATACATGAATATAGTAATTATTGTCACAAGCCCATCCTCACCGTAAGACAAACAAACTCATGTATTCCTCCTGCCGTTCTACTTTTAAATAGTGCAGGGAAATAATTCTTGCCCTTGCTATTGAAGCTCCTGATGCACAGATGGAGGATGTGTCTGTCTGCATGTTAAATATCGCACAGTTGGAGGAGCATGTGTACTCTGAGCTGAGGGTTGTTAGATCAAATCCTGCTCTCGAACAATAAACAGCATTTGTTGAGTGGTCAGATTGATCAACCTGGATGTGTGTGAATGGGTGAGGGTTCCTTGATATGAAGCGCTTTGAGTGAAGAAACCTGTTTGATGGATTGCTTTGATTGGGCAGGTTTGTGCCAGAAGTTCATGATATTAGACTGGCTGAAGCTAAAAAAATAAAATAACAATAACATAATTTAGTACTAAGATGTATGTGCAATTTTTTTTGGTGAAATAAGATATTTTTTTGCTGGTTTTGAATTGATTTTATCTGTGCAATTATTCAACAAAACATGCGTAATTGACGTCAAGTAAAGAATAAGTAAAATGTGTGCGCCGTTCCCGTCACATAGAATCATTTGCGATCACACGTCGTTCACTCCGGCAGAATAAACGTCCTCATTATTGATTGTCGCTCTCCTGGGCTTTTCTCAAATTCATTAAAACTTCACCAACAAACTGTGCCAAATGTGTCTCAAGCAAAGCAACAGATGTTCAGGAAAAATACTGAGAAAAGTCTGTTTTCCTCCACAGTACTACGAGATGTCCTACGGCCTAAACATCGAGATGCACAAGCAGGTAAGATATACTTGTATAATGCATGTTAGCAGTTGGTGGTGAAGGGGGATGGCTTTATTTTTGTCTGCTAGTTTTATTTTCTATGTGTGGGTGGTTTCAGCTCTTTCATGTTCCCTGTATATGCAATGTGGTGGCTGGAAATACAGTACACAACAACACGGTCTCCCTTTTAGTCAAATGTAATGGCAATGGTTACAATTCCACGCACAAACTCTGAGATGTGCTGCACAGGTGGCGCCTCGATGCTACTGCGAGAATCTAAACAATCACAGAATAACTCGCATGGACTCAGGTGAAATACAGGCGCAATTAAATCATTCAAATATCGTTCTAAAGTGCATTTAGGTACTTCTGAAATTCACCTTACAACGTGAAACTAAAAGTGGAAATATCAAACCTTTATTTATCCTGATGTTGATAATTGGCTCACAGCTTCTAAAAAAACACAGATGTAAGTTGATTAAGTTGAAGTAAAGAAATAAAACAGTATTTAAATTAATAATGATATTGTTAGGGTTCATTTGTACTTTGTTTTTTAGTAAGCACAGATAAGCTGCAAGCACTAAACATAACATTTAATACTTTATTTTTCTTTGCATTATATTTACTCTTCAGTCAAAAAACGTTTTAACCGAGAGGGATTAAGGGAAAACGCATTTACAAAAACAAGATATTTCAAACAACACACAGACTAATCGAATGTTTTAATAATTGATTCATGTAGTGACTATTGTATGATTAGTCGTGCCATTATTCAACGGCTGAGAAGGCTAAGTGGTCAGATTTGCATATTTGATCTGTTGGAGCTCGTGTCTTTGGGGTTGTGTGTTGAGGAAGCAGTCTGCCCTCGAGAGACGGCCAGACAGACTGATCAGGAAATGTGTTTGTGTGATGGGGAGAAGTGTGGGCTCCAGACACCCTCTGCATGACACTATGGCCGCTCAGGAGTAACCGTAGCAACAGGCTCCTCTCACTGCGCTGCCAAATGTAATGTTTTAAGAGATCTGTAGTTACTTCGGCTATAAGACTGTACAACAGATTGGCATTTTATTACTATTGTTAGTAACTTTGAAAATTATGTATTTATTGATGTTTGTGTGAATGGACAGATTTCTGCTGCTGGACACAAGGGGTGACAATCGGCCAAAATGTAACAATTCTATAGTGTTGAAATATTTTGGCCACATTTCAATATTATTGCGATTCTTATTATATTGTGATAGAGCAAGTGTTGGCGAGCTCTCACATGAGCTCTAACCCTAACACAATAGACTAGAGTCACAAAAAGCAGACATTAACATAAACCTCAGATGTACAGTCTATTACCAGAGTAAACCCAAAGAAAACTGTCATTTGGGGCAATGAAGAAAAAGGGATCCAAAAAAGCAGGACTGAAAATCAAATGTAATTTAATAAAATAAATCCAAGGTAATGTAAACCCACAAAAACTCCAGAACTGAAGACAGGACAGGACAGGACAGGACAGGACGTGGTAGAGACAATGGACGGACAACAAGTGAGGAAAAGCACAGGGTATAAATACGGTCGGCACTAGATCATCAGGAATCGGGACGAAACTGGAAGTAACAATCCTACTTTCGAATTAGTTTTAGACTAATATGTCCTCAAGTAGCCTGGTCGTACCACACCTTAGTACAAATTTCATTTCATACTAAGGTCTGGATTTGCGCCATTGAGCTCCGTGAACAGGTGGGAGGGGTTGACTCCTTTTGCAGATTGAAACGATTGGATCTGAGTTTAACGTGACGTATGTAATGCGCCCGAGTGAGTTGTTAGCATTAGCATTTAGCCTAGCCATCTCCTTTGCCGCTAACGGAGCCCGTGGGGAGTAGCGCCACAATCTTGACCAGCGATTACATTTGCTAAACATTCCTCTTGCTCCAGCTTCAATTTCTTGATAGAACCAGACCCGATTACTTCACTATCGCATTCTTCGCTATTACCAAACTACAACCTGCACGTTCGCCGCAAACTCTTGACGTCACCGGCACCGACCTATAACACGCTCTCTGAGTAGCCGGTCGAAATACGACCGATTGTAATCGCTGACACAGGGACTAGACCCAGACGCTACATGCAGTGAAATGATGACTGAGCGGAGTGTACGGATGACCATGGCCAGGCTAGTCCTTAAGTGGTGACTGCTTAAGTTTTTGGCGTCTGAGTAAGATGGTTAAGGTTAGGGTTAAGTGTGGGTTGGGGTTATTTAATGGGAATGGCTGGTTAAGTTTAGGCATAAATAGGTAGTTTGTTATATTTACTTCCGCTTCCGTCCCGATTCCGTATATGATCTAATGCAGACCGTATAAATACACACAGGGAGACACAGGTGGATCACATTAGGGTGGGGCAACAATCAACAGAACAGACAGAAAGCAAACTCAAACTCCAAGAGAACGAATATCAGAATAAAACCAGGCCAAAATGGTCAAAAAGTCCACACCATGACAAAAACATTAAAGTCATAGTCTGGAGTTTGTCGGAAAAAGGAGAGCGGTTCATAATTATAAAAAGAAAAAAAACCCAACCCAAGCTCCCTCCCCCTTCCTTTCTGATTTAGCCTCCACATGTTTAGATGTGATGCAGATGTGTCCTGTCCATTACGTGATGTTCTAGTGTTATGTTCCAATGTGGCGGTCGTTGTGTTGGAGAATGGCTGTTCAGTGTAAATGATCAGAGTAAACATGTGTGACAAGACACAGGATCTTGGCCACTTATCCACACTCATGTCTTTGCTCTTTCAAATGAACCGATCCAATGGCAGCTGGGTTTCATTAGCAGAGGCTCACTTGAAACAGGGTATTCTGGTGTTTTTCCAGTTCACATGAAGATAAGACAACGTCAAATGAGCCGTGCATTTAGTGCACTCTGTGGCTTGTTCGGCCTTGTTCTGCTTCTGCTTTTGATCATATGACACTGAACACAAAATAATGACTTATATTATGCATAAATGCTGATAGTGTTTGATGAATGAGTTTGAATCTGTTCCAGGTGTGACCTTGCCATCCATACCATACAACAGTCTCTGCTTATATATGGCAGGGATCTGTGCTTTTAGTTTGGAATGTCTTTTGTCTCTCTTTCCTCATCTTTAATTAATTAGGTAATATATTTATTTTATATGTTGTCCCCCCCCCCCCCCCCCCCCCCTCTTCTCTTTTGAATCTGGTGTTGTCATCGGTGCATTATGTAGACATTTACTAGTGACTTTCTTAAAAGGTGACTCTCTCCATCCCTCCTAAATTGTTCTCCACAGTCGCCACTTGCACTGTCACAGCAAACAGAGGGGGCTTTGTTTTTAATACATTTTGCATTGGGCTCAGCACGTCCCTCAATGTCATTTAGAGAGTGCCTTTGTTTGATTTTCATAAAAACAGCCTCAAAATGACAGGCCTGCTCTCTGCACTTTAACCCTTTAATCATGGTGTCATCCCATCAGCGAGGTAATTATAGCACACGGCTCCGAACAGCAGGGTTTTGTCCAAATACTTCCAGAGAACGTAGTGTATGAACAGCAGCCTCCGACACCGCTGTGAAGGAAAGGTTATTCTAGTGTATTAAAACATCAGCTGTAACCAGCTCCATTCAGCCTTATTATGTACTAAAGTCTATCATGAAAATATGTGCTGAATGAATGAATGAATGAATGAATGATACCTGCATTGGCCCCACTGTGGGGAAATTACAAGTTCATACAAGAAACATCAAGACGTGCAGCGGACTTTAAACAATATTGTTCAGTGTAAATAGATATATAATGAATACAGTACAGTCGACAGGGGGCGACAGTAGCTCAGTTGGTAGAGCATTGGTCTTAAGGCCAGAAGGTTGTGGGTTCAATTCCCACCTCTGCACCTTCTCCACCGACTCCCACTGATGACTGCTGTCGTTGTGTCCTTGGGCAAGACACTTAACCCCACTTTGCCCAAAGCCCCCACTGAAAGATCAAGGCTATGCTCACACTCAGAGAGCAGCCGTCCTCCTGTGGACTCACCACCTGCAGAGGGTCAATGAGGGGCTGGTGCTATGAGACTTGGGTGGCATCTCTGACTGCCACCCCCCTGACCCAGAAATGGATTAAAGGGTAGAAAATGGATGGATGGATGGATGGATGGATGAATACAGTAATGGACAATGGGACATAAAACATTCGTACCACAGTCACATCTGGATTAGATATTATTTCAAACCTGCAAAAAGCAATCTATCATATCTTCATACTACTGCAGGTTTAAAAAGGGGTGAAAAAGTGTATAGATCGGCTTTGATTGGTAGAGGATGCACACTTGTTATGGGTAACTTTAAAAGAAGACATGTTACGCATTATTTTTGACTGTTAAAAACTATATTGAGACTTTTTACTTTGTCATTTCATGTTTTAGAATGGTTAACAATGTCTACAGTAGAAAATCGATGGTGAGATTGTCGTGGTGTGGACGTTGTGATTACTTTTACCTGGTTTTATTTGGATTTATTGGTTCTTTTCAGTGTTCATGTCTGTCCAACCCTAACTTGTTTCCTCTGTGTCTGTACCCTGTGCTTCTCTCCTCTCGTTGCTGGTCCATTGTCAATGTCTGTCTGTCCTCTTCCTGGTTCTTTTGCTTTTATGTCATTGTCATCATTAAATTATTATTTTTGCATTCTGGTTTTTCCCCCAAATTCTAACCAAACACATGAAATTGTATCACCATGTCATTTCACCAGAGAAATTTCCAAAATTAAGGGCTATAGTTTTGCCCTTTTTGGGAAAATGCAGAAAACTGTGTGATGTTAGGACTAATAAAACTATTTATAATATCAAAATGTTGTATTTCTTTTTAGATGTGAGAATACAGTGTTCCGTGTGAGGTTTTTGTACCACAACAAGGCTGAGTGATGAATGGGTCGGATTGATTTTTTGGTGAAACCTGCAGTAGAAATATTGACAAAGCAATAATCAGAGAAAGACAGAGAAGACTTAACAGCAAAATAAAGAGCAA